CTTTGGGAAGAGCGGCCGTCAGTCTTGGCTAAAGGACAGTCCATTTGCAGACAGGGTAAGGCAGAGGTTCAGCTCAGGTGGGACCAGAGCTAACCCAGTTCAATTGCTAAATCCAGCTTCTTTGAACATTTCTGGGGTTTGTGTTGTGGTTTTAAGTGTTTGCATGAGATGAAATGTATATGGATTTCTCCTCTTCTGTGTGTGCTTTCTCTTAATTTGAAGTATTTTCCTTTATTGCCCTATATAAGAGGAGTTCCAAGCTGCTTGTAATAAAAACGTGGTCCTCAATGGCAGTTTTGCTGTCGCTCATGAGTGGTGAACAAGGAGACCATCGAATCAGTTTTGCAAAAATTCTCCATGAAGAAGCACGGGTCATTATTTCATGGAGTCAAAACTTCATGTTAAAGCTTACAGCAAAACCATATATTCAAAATAATTCTCTTTGGAAACATTTTAAACAGTATTTATTGCTTTGATGTTGCCTTGATCATATTTTAATTCTTAATTAAAAATAAAACTCTAAGCATCTGAAATTATATTGTACCTTAAAGCTCAAAGAGAGTAGTTTTTGTTTTAAGCATTTTTTTTGCTCAGGCAAAAGAAAGGAAAATGTCAGGGTATTTGATGTTGTGTCATACTGGAGGAGTAAACTATTGGCACTGATATATATATATATATACACGGTGGTGTTTTCCATGAGAATACTGATGTGAATAAGAATTACCTAAGAGAATAAGGATATGAAAGAGAAGGTCCACAGAATAAGTAAAATAAATCTGTTATTGTGGGTAGGATCTGCAGAGGTTTCTTGGTGTATCAGCTCAGTTTAACAGATAGCTAGACAGGAAGAGAAGACTGTGCCCTTGTTCCTGAAGGATTTGTTAGGCCCGTGCTATGGGTCTCCTCATCTGCACTGAACGTGATGAATGTGAGGGTCGGGAGCAGCTGGGTGCTGTCTCTTAAACTGCAAGCTGATTCTGCACTAACTGCTTCACTTTCCTCATGTTTGGTGTCCACAGTGGATGGTAGAAAAAGGCTTTGTGTTTCTCTCTTACTTTGTTTTTTTCTTCTCTCTTTCTTTCCTGCAATTTTCAGTTATGTCTATGAATAATTCTGTTTCATGCAAGTATCCAACAGACTTGAATTGTGAAGTTGTTGAAAGCCTGTAGGTGACACTTTAGCTACTGCAGCAGTTGTGGATGCACAGTGATGGATGTTTCTGAAAGGAAGCAATGCTAATTGTATCATTTACATTTCCTATGGAAGAGGCATGCAATTCTGCTCTTCCAACCCTTAAACAATTGCTTTTACCTGTGTGGTACTGTAGGTCTGGCTGTTGCAGTATCTCACCTGGTCCCTTGGATAATGGACAAGTCTTTGAAAATAAATAAATAAAAATAGTGGCCTAGCCTGGATGCTTTGCCTCTATCAGATGACTTGTGCTTTTCCTTTTAGACCATATGCTTTTTCTCATACATATGCACAGGTACTTTCCAGTGGTGCCAGTATCAAGATAAAGTTAGTCCATTAACTGTTACTGCAAGAGTGAAAATCAGCATGGAGAGAGGAGACCGCAAAAACCAGTTGCTATATTTTCAGAGTAATGAATCTGTATTCTACTGACCTGGATGCAAAGACCAGATGTCTCCATTACAGAGGGGTTGTAACAGAAGCTCTGTCACTGCCAACGTATAGATGTGCATTTGCCACGTTCTTGATTCTAACATGCCTGCTGTTTGAAGCTGCCTTACTGCTCTGAGCTTTTTTACTTGAAGGTACTTGCAGCTGTGAAGCATGGGAAGGGTGTTCAGTTTTCTGACTGTGAAGAAGGATGTAGTTTCTGCTGGTGAAATTATGAGGACACCTGTTCCCTGGAAAACAGATTGAAGTCACTGGCTCTTTTTGTTGAGAGCACAGATAATCATCGGTGGTTGTGGCTGCGGGTCAATGTTGATGCAAACTAAAAAAAGTCAATGAGTCATTACCAGTGCCACGAGAATCTTAGTCCCGTGAGGAAGCATTATTTAAGCAGTCTATCCTACAGGATATGGCAGAACAGAAAATACTCTGGGAATTCTCCGTTGGTTTTCTTTTTATAATTGTAAATACTTGCTCAAGACTTGAATACTAACCCTGTGGTCTGCAGACACTAAACAGCTTTCCCAATGGGGGTGGACCAAGCACCTCATGGATGGGTGTTGGGTGTGCTGCTATGGTGGCAGCTTCTTTCTGGACCTGCAAACCGTCAAGTACAAAAAAATGCTGTTAAACATTGGTTTAAGTCACTGTTTTGGTGCTTAGCTGGGCAGGATGCGTGTTGAGAGTGCAAATAAGCATTTTTCTGTGATTCATCTTTCAGCCTGATTTGCAGCCCTCTTGTTACTGTTTTTGAGAAAACAGCTTTTAAGAACCCCAAAGTTCATGTGTGTGTTTGGTTTTTGTTAATTCAATTTCTTATGAAAGGACTAGGAAATGCATAGTTACAGGCATGCACAGTGCCATAACAAATGAAGGAGCACTTGGTAAGTCTAAAAATACACAAATAGGACTTGCAAGTGACAAATTATCAAAACTCCTTGTAATAGCACATCAGGAATGTAGCACTGGCAGATGTCTCAGTCATTTTATTGGTAAATGTAATGTGGTTTTTTTTATATTTTTGTAACTTTGCAGGGACCTGAGCTGATGAATAAATATGTTGGTGAATCTGAACGAGCAGTGAGAGAGGTGAGAAGAGACAAAGTATACATAATACTGTATGTTAAACATTCTGGGCATTCAAATTCTCTGCTTATAAAGTTACCTTTAAACTTTAAAAAAAACCCAACTTCTTATGGTTTAAATCTGAAAAAGAAAAGAAGCAGAAGGGTTGTTTTGTGTTGCTTAACTTTGTTGGCCTAGTGAAGAATGTCGAAGTTGGGATCCAGTAGCAGCTTTAACTGTATGTCTGCATTGGGCAGTATCATTAATAACTTCTAAAGCATCTGTTGTTTTGCTTTTTAAAAAAGACAACAAGACTTATGTCTGTTCTGTAATGCTGTCTAGCTTTTGAAGTGTGCAGGGGGTGATAGCATTCTGTAAAAAATTTTCCATCCCCTACAACTCAGTGTTTTGTTGTTGTTTTTCTAGATATTTAGGAAAGCCAGAGCCGTGGCTCCTTCAGTTCTTTTCTTTGATGAAATAGATGCCTTGGCAGTTGAAAGGGGCAAGTAAGTTATCCTGTTACAAAAATCATGGATGTTTTCTGATAAATGATTCTTAGATGGTGCAATCACAAGTGTATTACTTTTCTAGAGTTATTTTATTAAATATATTAATTTCACATGCAGAAGGACAGCATTTGTCAATTCTACTCAAGCATATTTAACTTGGCATAAACAGGTAAGCTGGTGGAGATCTTCCTTTCTCATCTCATTAGCAGGAATGATTCTACTGGTTCTCATGCCCTTTGGCTCTTTTCTGTGGTTTTAGCTTGCATTTATTTCTAGCAAAGAACTCCTTTCTTTTCCCAGGCTTGGTGCACTGGCCTAATATAGTCTCTCCAGCAAGTAAACAGTGTGATCATATGCTATATGAGAGGAATTTCCAAGGAGGCTACTCATAGCCACTTGCATTTAAACAGTTTGCCAGACTGGGAAAAACTTCATGAAGATATTTGGGAACACTTATGTGCTTTCATGTGTGACATTAAAAGGGGATTATTGTGCAAGCAGCTAATAATGTGTTGGGGTTTTTTTTAATATCCTGCTTTGTGATGATTCTGAGAGATGTTTAGCTCCTGTCTGGAGGAGGATTTTAACTTGATTTTAGTTGCTACTGTAGCATTTAAGATTTGACAAGCTCGGTTAGTGGTCTTTCTTGGGGGATACCTTCTTATAAAATACTACTGCTTGTGAGCAAGTACCTGTTCATGGGGGTTTTTTGCATTAAAAAGTATCAAATATGTGCATGCAGAAATTACTTGTCCAGTTTAAAGGTGCACCACAACTTCATCATTTTTCTGGAAAAGAAGCTCTCTTAGTATCCATACAGATTCCTTTGTGTTGCAAAAGGGCCATTTGTATCTGCAGGAAAGGATAAAAGGTGGTGTTCTGACATTTCAGCAACACAAATAAATTGTTTGTGTTATAGGAGGTGCCATAACATGCAGCATAGAGCTGCCCTGTGAAACTGCTAAGAAATGAACACGTTTTCTGTTGAAAATGCAGAATCTCTTAGAGTACATCTTCATCAGCATCCTTCTCATATGCCATGTATGCAAATGTGAAATACGTAACTTCCTAAAATGCCATCCACCCTGTGGTACGTGCTGAAACACCTGCCTGCTTATCACAACAGAGAGGTTGCAAAAATGTGTGCTGGAATCAAGACAACAGAGAGGGGGTAAAAGGTCTCTGCCTGCTGTAATGCTGAATGCATTTAGCTTTCAGAAACACCACTTCAAGATAAAAACTTTTGAAAGTAAAAGCAATAATATATTTTAATCAGTCTTTTTCACACAGTGCCCTAGAGGTGTTTGTTTGTTTGTTTGTTTGCTTTATTCTTTTAAGGAGTAAATACTGCAATTTTACCTTACCTGGAACAATCTGTGGGGGGTAGTAGGCCTGGCACAGCTTGCTGAAGAATGTGGTATGACCTGCTGCAGTCGTGTTGCGCTGGAGACATCTGGTTTTGGAGCTTTAAAAGAACAGGGTGGGACACACAAATATTTCATTGTCAAATCTGAACCAGATGGGAGGTAAAATATGTAGCAGAGTCCTCATAAAATTCATCTGAAATTAAATGGTGTAGGAAACCAGACAAGGCACTTACTAGAAATGGCCTTTTTTTACAGGCTGACTTTGCACAGTAGGAATTTGCAAATGTATTAGAGATGCTAACAATTTGTGGCCTCTGGAGATCCATTTCCTGTACTATTACTAACCATACTGGAGTTTTCAAGGAAACACCTGTTTATATTGTCTCCCTATTCCCTCTGTTGGTTGAATTAGTTTTTTCCACCCTGGCAGTGAAAACCACTCTCTGATACAGCTTTGTAAAAGTTTTTCCTCTAGGTTTAAATCCTTCTTGGGATTCTGTGGCCTTTGTGCACAATGCGCTGTATCCCAAATCTCCCAGATAGGTAACCTCTCCTGATCGTAACAGGACATGTTCAGAGGTATAGAGGAGCCTAAACTGTGAAGTTGTGAGAGTAGTTGTATGCATAGTTCAGATCTGAAATACAGATGTGAAATAACATTCAGTAATTGCTTAATGCTTTTGCTCTTCAAAGCACTTCGCCAAGTATTCATTTAACCCATTATTGCTTGTTTAGATTTGACCAAAGCTTGTGGGTTTAAAACACAAATGTTTTGCTCCCAACCTTCTGTGGAGATCACTAACAGTCCTTTCTCAGCAGCAGCCACAAACAAACTAACAGACTTTCTAATTAATTATAATACAGGTGGATAAGAAAGCTAAGGAATTTTCTTGTTTGCAGAATTCAATATAATGTCTCCTTTGCACCATGGGGCAGAGTCTCTGTCACGGCACAAGCCATTATTCTATGGCAAACACTGGTTGCATTCAGATATAGAATCATAGAATAATTAGGATTGGAAAGGACTTTAAGATCATCTAGTTCCAACCCCCCTGCCATGGGCAGGGACACCTCTCACTAAGCTATGTCACCCAAGACACCATCCAGCCTGGCCTTGAACACTGCCAGGGATGGAGCATTCACAGCTTCCTTGGGCAACCCATTCCAGTGCCTCACCACCTTCTTCCTTACTTCTAACCTAAACTTCTCCTGTTTAAGTTTGAGCCCATTACCTCTTGTTCTATCACTATATGCCCCAGTGTTTTATTTATTATGCATTCCCAAGCTGTAACTCCGTAATTGTAGTACATCTAACACTCTACCTAATCTGTCTCATGTAGCACTTTTGTTTTACAAAATGTATTTGTGTGCATTTATTAGTTTTAAGAAATAATACTTTGAAGTCAGCAAAAATTACATTAATTGACTTTGTTCAGTGTTAAAATCTATTATTTTTGAAAAGATTATTTCTTAGTCAGCCTTCTTAGAAGTTCCATATGGGTTTTTTTCTGTGTGAAATAAGCACCTGGGTTTTTCTTCTTGTCTATCCACACCCTCCTCCCAAGTTGGCGTGTAGGCAACAAACTAACACATATTAATCAAGAATTAAAAATGTGGGCTGTATACATACCAGCCTTAAAGAGAAATATAAAAATCTAATCCTGCACCTCTGAAGAAGATTAGTTCAGTGTCACAAGGTGACAGTGAAGACGAAGGTAATTTCAGCTGTATCCAGTTCTGCATTTTGTTCTGTTACAATGCACTTCTAGTGCTCTTGGAAGAATTTTTCCTTTCCCCTCTTTGTCTGGTTTATGTTGAGGATGTTTAGAGAGAATTGGAAATGAAAAATTAGGGGCTGAATGGACTGGCTATAAAGATAAAGGCAGACATTCACTATAACTGGTTGGAAAGAATAGATGATAAACCTGCGGAAGAAAAGATGGTAGAAAGTTAGAGACATCGCAATGAATTTTGAGTAGGAAAAATGATTGAGATAAGAGAAACTAATGCAAATTGGGAAGGCTTTTCATTGAGTTCTCCTTTGCTGCCAGCCGGTCATATGGGAGAAGCTCCAGCAAGGTACCACTTGACATCTTTAAGTCAGAACGGACATTTTGTGGATTAACATTCAATTGTGCACCAGGAGAGGTGAACAACATGATGCACAGAGCCTTTTCCACCACTCCGTGGTTTGCGTTAGCATTTGCTTCCATGAGTGGGTTATGACTTTTTTTCTTTCTCTTTACTTTTGAAAGATGTTGTTAAGACTTTTTGTATGAGAGACTGCACTCAAGTGAGACCCATAGAACTGGTCCGGATAAAGCCGCGCATGAGGAGGAAAGTTTGCCTCACAGTAATCTCTTGCCTAGACAAAGCTTGAGAGGTTTTACAAATTGCACAGCTGTGAAGAGTTATGGGTATTTGTTATCCCTTGGTATCCTGACCATGTAAAACCTAATTCTTCTGGCCATTAGAGGTTGCCAAGAGGGAAATGGCTTGGTAATTAGACTTGAAAGTGATGAATGAACATGGGTCTGTGTAAATGCAGCACAGACAGTCTGTTTGCTGAACTCAAAAAATCTCTGTGCTTTGGAAATGGGACATTGTTTATATAAGCAGGATTTTTAGGATTTTTAGACAAGAGACATATTTGTTCCTTTTCTTGTTTTTCACAAGCAAAGCATTTTCCCCTTTAACTGCAAATCTTTGTAATGTAAGATGGGAAATGTTGTAGACTGATGTGAAAGACACTGATAAATTCCATTTTCAAGGTGGGGGGGAGGGAGAAAAAGAGACAAAATAAGTACCTTGCATTTGAGTTGCAGAGGCCAAAACAAGTTGGTAGATGGACAATGCTAACCTTTTCAGAGTGAGGGTAGAAATGACAAAATGAAGGGACTTTGGTTCCTATAACCCAAAACTACAATATGATGTTATCTTGTATGCTGGGGAGGACAGATACGCTCCTAAGCTACAGTTTAAAATGCTCAGAACCTCTGAAAGACATACTGTTTTCACTTTAGGTATTTAAATATTTGCAGTCTTAACTTTTCAGGCCTTCAGGCTTCTCAGCGAAGCAGCTTCTCTACTGTGCCACCTCTGCTTTCAACAGGGACCGTGATAAATCTTCCAGTTTTAAACCAAGCTGTCTGTCTTTCTGGAATGTTTTAGCTCATATGTTGTACACTATAGCACATACTACACTGTACATCTGAATATATCACTGCATTTTTGAATCTGTGCAAATTCCCTGGTGTAATCTGCAGCCTCTGTCATGAAGGAGATCGCTGTATTGAATTCTATAAATGACACCTGAGGGCTGGACCCTGCAGGTATGGAGTGAAGTGGCATTAGGTAGGATAGAAAACCTATGGGGCAGAAAACCACCTTGCTCAGCGTAAATTACCAGTGGTAGGACTGGAGTGGTATTGTCACCTTAATATTACTCATGCTAAGGCTATGGAGTATACGGAAGAAATGGAGTTTCCCTGTGCCATACTTGTGTTGTAAGGGACCCAATTCTAGCAGCTGGCTCAGTGAGGCAAGAAGCTTTATGTTTCTGACTTCTGTTGGCACTGGTTGTCTCTGAACTGGGGAACATCAGCTGATTCCCTGCAATATCTGAGCTGT